TGATACAATCCAGACATTAATGAGTAATCATAAGACATGTATATTAAAATATCACAGAACAGTCATAACACTTTAAGATCAATTTTTAAATAAGGTTGTAAAGCTTTGACAGGCATTTATTTCATATAGAGTCTATAGATAAAAAGGACTAGGGGATGTCAGTTAATGTAGTTGGTCCAGGTCTTGATCAGATGCTGACTTTTGGTTATTACCCCAGGGTAATCTTTAGAAAAGAAGGCTTTTGCGGGAGACTGGTAGAATTTTCTATCCCTGAATATAAGAGCTGTGGGTCAAACTGTCTGACATTCAAACCCAGTCAAAAGTGATTTATGCTCTTCAGCCTTAGGGCAAATGAAATTGGAGCATGATGCAACAGCATTGTCTGGACCCTGCCAAGATGGGTTTCTGCCAATGACAAGGCAAGACTAGAGCACCACCCATCCCAGAGGATGTCAGTCTTCTGGCTCCAAAGTCTTCGGGCTACTGGGAATCTTAAGAAACCCACCAAAGCCCCATCTGAAAGAAGTTTAGTAACATTAGTGCCCTAACATCAAACAAGAAATGTTCTAGGCACACAAGACTGTGGCCATTCCCCCCAGTTCCTGGGACTAACTCCAGAAAGGATCAGAAATGTACTGACAAGGTAGATGAATTTGTTTTAACTTTGGATTTTGAAAGAAGCTTAGCCAAAACAATTAGACACTGCTTCATCAACTATCCAAACAATTAATGGGAGGCTGAGTGTTAGGTCATCATAGTTCCAAAGAAAACAAGATCTGTCTGCATGAATTCATAATATGAACCAAAGAGATTCTTCTGTAAGTGCAATGATTCATTTAAAAGAGGACACTAATAACTCATAGCTCAGTACTGTTATGTCCCAGGAAATATATTCCACTTTAAACCTAAGACATAACTGCCCCAAAAGAGATTCATCTGAATTCTTACATGTTGCCAGTGCCTGGTTGGTAAGGCAATCCCCAAAGCAAAATAAACAGGGAAATTTCTTCCTCACTTATCAATAAAACCAAATCAGGATTCACCTGGTTGTCCGTTGAATATAAGATGGTCTCTGTACCTAGAATTCACAGCACACCTGTTCATCTTGTACAGCTCTAGTCTTGTATGCTCCAGCTATCCATGCCCTAGTCCTGTCTCTAAACATTTACTCACTGGTTTCTATGGGGATTGCATGGACCAAAAGTTATAAAAGAAGCACAATTAGTGATACCTCTAGAAAGATGGGGGTAGAAGGTGGAGATAGTGGTAACTCAGGTCTTCAAATGGAAAAGTATTTCACATATTTAGCAATAAAGTGTTTATCTTAGTATTCACTTTTTGTTTTTCTCTTAGTAGGGGAAAAATATTTTTTCTCTTGCATCTTTTTTCCCCCTTCATTTTTTAAAATTCTCACCCAAGGACCTACTTAGAGAGAGGTAAGGGGAGGAGGAGGGAGGGAAGGAGGGAGGAGGGAGAGAGAGAGAGAGAGAGAGAGAGAGAGAGAGAGAGAGAGAGAGAGAGACATTGATGTGGGAGAGAAACATCAGTTGGTTGCCTCTAATACTCCTAAGTGCCCCAACCAGGGATCAAACCTGCAACCCAGGTATGTGCCCTGACCTAGAATCGAACCAGCAACCTTTCAGTGCACTGGACAATGCCCAACCAACTGACACATTCTGGCTGGGCGGTGGTGGCTGCTGCTGCTGCTTCTTCTTCTTCTTCTTTAAAATTTATTTTCATTTTCTGTATAAGAACCATCAAAATTGTTACTTCTTCATACATCCTTGTTTCACAGGAAAGGCTTGATTCAAACTGTGAAACTTATATTTATAACAAAGAACTGAATTTGAATATTCCACATTTTAAATGATTCATTGGGTTAAAAGAATTGATTCTAAATTAAACTGCTTTTAACCTAAGAATTTCTTTGAAAAAGTGAAATCTACCAAGGAAATGCACTGAATCATTGTAGTATTTTGACACCAAATGGCAGCTTACAAAGTACTTCAATGTCTTGATTATTTTTTCTGTTCCTGTAGCTCTGCAGTTCTTTAGAAAGTGATGTGCATTATTAATAGTGTTTTATATTTTGAAGTGCTTTAGACTTTTCCAAATTGTTCTTTCATTTTATCCTTTATAACCACCCTGTGAAAGCAGTATAGCAGACATTCCGCTTTTGACAAATTACAAAAAATGATATGGTAGGAGGGGGTGTTAAGTCACTTATGAAAAACACAATCACTTGAAAGTTCAGTTGGAATTGTAACCCAAGTCTTCTCTCCAGGGCCTTTTGCAACTTTGATTAATTTTCCCTTTTTCTTTGTGATTTGAGTTTTTCTCTCTCAAACTTTAGCAGGCCTACTCTTTTATTTTCTGAAGATAAACAGTCTCCCCCCCGCCCCACCCCGCCCTTTAAAACTTGTATGTGTTGGAAATGTAAAATAGAAAACAATTTGGGGAGGCCAGATTCGAGCAAGAAAGCATGCTGGTAATATTTGCTAAATGATCATAAGTGTCCTTATTTTTAAAATTGCAAGTCACTGTTAAGAAAATAATCAATTGTATTCTTGAAGAATTTTTCTAATTAGTTACCCATTTTTTTTCCAAAAGAACAATTTTGAGTTGCTTTTACTGATCTGGAAGGTGGGCATTAGGAAGAGTGTTTAAAATTGACATAGTGTTTATCTATGGCACTTACCTTTTAAAAAACATTTTTTATTAGTCTGAATATATGTATATTAATCCCTTTTTACACACCGAGAAATTAAGAGGGAAGCCATTTTCCCAAAGAATAACTGTTCACCATTGTTCTTCGCTCTGACAATAGCGGGCCTCTGTTTCTGAAGCAGGTAGTTTACATTCCGCCCATGTTCACTCAGTCTGCAGCACGCAGACACTTTGGAAAGATAGGTAGGTAAAATGCAGTCAGTTTTTAGGCATATAGAATTTTTGTGTCTTCATATTCTAGGTAACATGGTATATTTAATTACGAGTGTGAAATGTTACCTTTTTGGTAGATTGAAAATTACAGTTTTGGCATTTGAAGTTAAAACTTGAAAGGATGTTTTTCTTTTTATTCTCCCTATTACTGTGTATCTATCTTTTTGCTTTTAAATGTTACAGGACACCTGTACTCCGCACCAGTTAAGGCTGAAGAGCTTAAGTGGGGTGTAGTAGACAAATTAAGGGAACAGTATTTCTCTAGTTTTACAAATTCATAAACAGTCATTCCTACTAGAATTTTCCCAAATACCTTCTTACTTCAGTAATCTCTACACAGTAGCGGCAGGTTAATTTTTGAGCCATGCTGTGTTTAACTGCCCCTAAAATGAAAGTGGCCAGTTGACACTAATAGGCCCACCCCATCAGAAAGCAGAGTTTCAAAAAGTCTCCATTGATTCCTTCCTGGTGGTTGCACTATGTCTAAGTTTGCACCGGTCTAAACTTCATCCTTCTTTTCCAAGTGATGACTGTAACCACATCTTGAAGGAAGTCATCGTCGTCAGGTCAAGGAAACCCAAGATTGCAAAAAGCATTAGCTATGATTGACCCGATGGTGGTTTTGTGTGTTTTTTCACTTTAGACAATTTTGTTTTCATGTCTTTTCCCACCTTCTGTGGACCACGGTTCTGTGTATCATTCTGTCCCTTAAAGCACCTTGCCCACATACATCACCTTAAACAGAAATCGCAACCTCCTGGGCAGCTGATCAATGATTCTCTCTCATCATTGATGTTTCTGCCTCTCTCTCCCTCTCCCTTCCTCTCTGAAATAAAAAAAGAAAGAAAAAGAAATTGCAACCTCTGGTTACCACCCAGGGCACGCTGGTTGCCCACTGCTCACTCACTGCCTCGCTCTTGGAACTCCAGCCACAATGACCTGCTTGCAATTTCCTCTCACTTCACCTGCCATTTCATCCTTTTGGCATGAATTCCCTTGTTTTCTTCCCTCTATTCTGGCTAACTTCTATTCTAGAATATTCTAGATTTGGTTTAGATATAACTTCCACCAAGAGACCTCCGAGCTTTTTATTTATTTTTTGTCATTACCTGTGCCTTTCTCTCCTTTAATTTTTTAAAAAACAGCTTAATAGAGATATATCCACATACCATTACAATTCACTCATTTAAGGCATACAATTCAATGGTTATTATATATTTAGGTATGTGCAAACATCATTGTAGTTAATTTTAGATCTTTCTTATTTCCTTAAAATGAAGCATCATACCCTTAATCAGCTCCCTAAACCCCAGGCCCCTTTCCAGCCTAAGCAACTACTAACCTACTTTGCATGTATAAATTTCCCTGTTATGGACTTTGACATGAATAACAACACATGACACATGGAACTTTTTATTGGCCTCTTGTACTTAGCATAATGTTTTTGAGGTTCGCCTAATTTGGGGCATGCATTAGTACTGTATTCATCATTTTTATGGCTGAGTAATAGTCCGTTGTATGGATATACCACATTTTGTTTATCCATTCACCATCTTAATGTTGAGGGACATCTGGGATGTTTCCACATTTTGGCTGTTTCCACATTTTGGCTGTTTCCACATTTTGGCTGTTATGAATAATCATGAACAAGTTTTTCTGTGAAAATGTTTTTGGACATTCATGTACAAGGTTTTTTGTGAAAATGTTTTCATTTCTCTTGGGTATTTACCTAGAATTGGAATTGTGGCAACTTTCTGTTTAGTTGTCTGAAGAACTGCCAGATTCTTCCAAAGCACCCTCACCGCTTTGCAGTGTGTGAAAGTCCCAGTTTCCCCACATCCTTGCAACACTTGTTATTCTCTGTCCTTGCGATTTTAGCCATCCTAGTAGGTGTGAAGTGGAATCTCATTGTTGTTTTGTCTCCTATAGATAATTTTTTTTTAATGTATGTTTTCTCGGTATCCATGCATTACTTCCCAGTATGCAGTCCACACTCAGGTGTTGATTAGACTTGATTGAATGTGATACAAAAACTGTCTTTTTAAAAATTTTTATTTCAGCAAGTGTCCAGCAGGCACCTGTGATGGATGTACATTTTACTTCCTGTGGGAGAGTGCCGAAGCTTGCCCTCTGTGCACAGAGCATGACTTTCATGAGATTGAGGGCGCCTGTAAGAGAGGATTTCAGGTAAGGAGCAAATCTACCTAGGCAGAACGGTGTCAATGAAGATACAGTCCTTCAGTCTAACATTGCTTACATCATAGAAACTCAGATTTGAGAGCATGGCTAAAGCTTATAGTTCCCTTAATGTGACATTAACATGCATGTAAAAGTGTGGAAGCTAAACTCCCATATGCTGAGGTAGCTGAAGTCTTACACTGAGCATTCAAAGACAGTGTTGCTCACGCGTAGTGACTGTTGAGCAATTTCTTTTTTAACATTATTAAGTAGGTAAGGATGAAAAGTTCAGATTCACAAAACACGATGTCTTTTAAGTCCTTGTAATAATAATGATATACTTTTAATGCTTCACAATGGAAATCCATCTTTACCTTTTCTCTAAAATTATGATAAACTTATTATCTTATAATCATTTTTTTAGAGCAAATGAAAAACTAAGATGCATTCCCTTTCTTTGGCTACCAAGTTTAACTCAAGTTTTGAAAATCTCAACTACCTTTATTAAAATATTCTTTAATATTTAATATTTGTATTCTGGAAGGTAATGATTGGGAGTTTAAGATAGGTCACAACAGTTCCTCTAATTTTATCTCAAACTGTCTTCATTGAAGAAGTTCTGTTCAACATGTGATAAGAACATTAGAAACAGATAGTGGTGAGATGATCCTTTCAAATATATGTTTTGATCATAAGAATACTATATTTTGATGTATTCGACATGTTGACATATATGATCCCCCTTCATATTTCCAATTTAATTTGAGAAATACCAAAATCAGTTAAATATGCAATTTTGAAGATATTTGCCAAATGAGACCAAGGTTCAACTGGAAAAAATATAATGCCATTTCTAAGCTCATACATCTTGTTTAGTGTATTCCATTGTAACAGCAAACAAATGGGTGTGATTCAGTCAGTGGGTAGGTTTACCTCCAATCTCTGAATAAAATATTTCAAAAAGTCTGCTCTTCCATAAGCTTCACATAATACAAAGGACCGCTCTCACTGTGTTTTCCATTATGCCCACAAGCTAGGGTAGATTTCTTTGGATGCCGAAGCCTTTTGATAGAAAATGACAGTGATTACAGATTATTGCTATAGGTTTCTTTTAAGTTTTAAATGATTCCACTATATTTCTGCCCTAGTTCCTGCTCCAGCCTTTGTAATTTTTCATTTTATATTTCACTTCCCCAACTCTATAAATACATCCAAATCCAGATGCGTATAAAGTTAAAGTTACACACGACAAGTCCTCCACATATAGCTGATATAAGCTAACAGAGCTGCACAACGTGCGATAAAAGTGCTCCTAGCAAATTGGATCTCAAAAGTCTACACCAGGTTCTAAGGCTGTGTTAAGCAATACTTCTAAATGTCAGATAGTAGTAAAGATTTAAAGAGGGACTGTGTGATCACTAAGAGGAATGTTTTTGAATTTATCATCTAATTTATCTCACCTTGTTCACAAAAAGTTCCTACATGCTGGAAGAATAAGCTTTTCAGCTGTATTTCCAGGTTTGCCGATGACATGTGACCAAGTGAAGGCGTAAAGCTTCCTAATTAATAAAATGACTAAGAAATGCATAAAATGACTAAGTTATAGATGGCTAAGAAATTTTACCAATAGCTTCATTTTTTTGTTTTGTTTAACAGTTTGAAGAGCTTAAAGTTAAGCATACTGGGTTTATAAGGATCTTTTTTATTTTGAAGTTTTAGCACTTTATTTATAGGACTGTCATTAGACATTAGAGGGTACCATTTTTCACTGGGTGTTGGACATTTAATAAAGCCATATAAACTCTTTTTACGGTCTGTTTTCCTGTTGGAACGCACTTCAGATGAAGTCAACATTTGCTGACTAGGCTTAACATTTGTCTCTTTATTGTCATTACCTACACTTAGAGATGTGTCAGTTCAACTGGAATATGCCTCTTCATTTCTCACCTCATCCTTCTCATAAAAGTAATTTACTCATACTGAGTTTAACAAAAATGTTGTAGTTATCATGCATGAAAAAATTCTTAATTTTAATGTCCTTTTTAGAAAAAAATGCTGAAAGTTCTTATCCAGACTTGGTTGAAACTTTTTCTCAAAGTAAATAAATATGATTCTTCTGCACATCAATTACTAACTGAAAAAATATATAAAACCAGCCGAAACCGGTTTGGCTCAGTGGATAGAGCGTCGGCCTGCGGACTGAAAGGTCCCAGGTTTGATTCCGGTCAAGGGCATGTGCCTGGGTTGCGGGCACATCCCCAGTAGGAGATGTGCAGGAGGCAGCTGATCGGTGTTTCTCTCTCATCAATGTTTCTAACTCTCTATCTCTCTCCCTTCCTCTCTGTAAAAAAAAAAAAAAAAAAAAAAAATATATATATATATATATATATATATATATATATATATATATATAAAACCAAATTAAACATTGTGGTGTTATCCTCCTGTCAGGGTGTTGATAAAGTGACCAGCATACACCAGAAAATGTAATGAGACACCAGGAGCAAAAAATGTAATGCCCCATGACACTTAATGTCACTGAATATAATCATCATGCATGTTGCTACTGGTCACTGCATATGTTGAAATATATTAGGAACCATGCACTGTGCTCTGGTTTTTATTTCTAATCTGTTTTATTTGATCTATTTATTTTTCTAATTGCTGGTTGAGACCAAAAATAATTGACTTTATTACTCACTGGTTGCAATTTGCAGGTTGAAAAACATTGCCTTAAATAAATTGTCATCTACTTTTGGAAACTCAGAGTAAAACCTCGTGTGGGTAGTGATGACCCAGAATAATTCCATCCTTATTTAGGCATGGGAAGTGGGGTGCAGTCTGTATACCCCCCCGCCCCCACACCAGTCACCAAAGCCTGACATTCAAATTGTATTTACATGTCCAGGGTGCAAGGTCTACTCTCCTGCTCAAGGAAGAGGCCTGTAGGGGAAAACATTCCAATTATAATTATATTAACCAACTAAACGTTCATTTAAAAACATGAGTCAGAAGTCAGAGATATCAGAAATGTGAGGAAAATAGCCAAAGGATGTGTCTAGATCAGTGGTTCTCAGCCTTCTGGCCCTTTAAATACAGTTCCTCATGTTGTGACCCAACCATAAAATTATTGTCGTTGCTACTTCATAACTTTAATGTTGTTACTGTTATGAATCGTAATGTAAATATCTGATATGCAGGATGGTCTTACGAGTCCCCTGTGAAAGGGTCATTCAACCGCCAAAGGGGTCGAGACCCACAGGTTGAGAACCGCTGGTCTAGATGGAGTCATTTTTATTCAACTTCCTTAGCATGTATGTGACAATCCATGGTTTTAATTGGTTCTATTGCATTTTAATTCATTTCCTTATCCACTCTCTGTATCTCTTCTACACCTTCTATATAACTTCTACATCTCTAGAGCTTCTACTAGATGAATGCTGAATAATCCTCTGTGCCTACATTAATAAAGGGTTAGTTAGCAAAGCTCTTCTCCATCTGAATCTTATTTTTTATGTCATCTCTGTTTTTTGTTTTTAAAAGGAAACCTTGTATGTATGGAATGAACCCAAATGGTGCATTAAAGGAATTTCTTTGCCTGAGAAAAAATTGTCAACCTGTGAAACAGTTGACTTTTGGCTAAAAGTGGGAGCAGGTGTGGGAGCTTTCACAGCTGTTTTGCTGGTGGCTCTAACTTGCTATTTTTGGAAAAAGAATCAGAAGTAAGTAACCTCATTGGATCTTTTTTGTGAAAATTTTAGACTTAATCATTATATCCAATAGTTTCTCTCAGAGACACAAGGAGTTTCTTCTAGTGAAGGAGTTATAAGAAAGGCCTTAAAGAAAGCAAATGGAAGTAATTATAATTCTGACAATATAGAGATCATAGAACATCAGAGATTATTGAATTTGATCCATTTATACAAAACAAAAATGGTGACTCAGGTTTGAGATCAGAAAGCCATTTTTTTTTCTGTGTCTATTTTTCTTGTCCTGACATGATGTATTCTTGCCCCAACTTTCCTTGTTTGTTTTTTTTTTAGTTTCTTGTGGGAAGATATTTGCAAAGAAACAAACTAATTGTATAAGCATATAGCAGCTTTATTTATTCAAGAAATCCAAGAATCTAGAGTTGAATGTTGAGTCTAACTCCTGATTTATATTGCGGTGTTACATGATTTGACTCTTTTAAAACGATTTATGTGTCAATGGGGCTGTGAAGGTTCTATATAATAATACCTCAAGACAGTTGGAATATCTGTGGCTTTCTAATAGAAAGGGATGAGTGATAGAAATGGTAAAGACCAAATCAATTGCCTATATGGTATTCTTAGTCTTATGACCTGAATTTTGGAACACTGTATGGTAAATTAGCTTCCAAATATTTATAAATTAAGAAAATGCATTTAGAACTCAAGGTTTCTCTTTGTTTTTCAAAAATTCATAATTGGACAATTTAGTCCATGTAAAAGGATGATAGAGTTCACTGTATGGCATTGATCCTCTGAAACCCTGAAAAAGATTTGTGTGTAGAGGGTACAAAAATGAGAACATAGAGTGCAATAGCTATAGGTGAGGGAAATTTGTTGGTAGAACAACTGTACTACAAGACAACTTAATGAGTTTGTGTGTGATCACTTAAAAAAAGTACTATTTTATATTCAACCCCCACTTTATCTATTTATTTACGACTACTTAGATTGGAGTACAAATATTCCAAGTTGGTAATGTCAACTAACGCGAAAGAGTGTGAACTCCCAGCGGCAGACAGCTGTGCTATCATGGAAGGAGAAGATAATGAAGAGGAAGTGGTATATTCTAATAAGCAGTCACTACTGGGGAAACTCAAATCCTTGGCCACAAAGGTGAGGGCGAACGTTAACCTGGTCACACTGCGCATCTATAAATTAGGGGCCGTAGTAACCCAATAGTGGCCGTCCTGCAGGCCCTGTCAGTCAGCATGTCTATATTTCTGTCAGTATTTACCTAACAAAAATGCTCTTAGAAGGGCATAAGGATATAAATACAAGACTGTTCACTGCAGCATTGTTTTTGCTGGTTAACCAAGCAGAAACAACCTTAAACACCGTAAGTATGGAGTTAGATAAGAAATGTTCATTTAGCAACGTAATGGAATACTGTGTAACCCTGCAGCTATTAAATATATAAATACCTATGTCAGTAGATCCAAGATAAAGTAAAAAAAAAACCACATAGACTGTCACATTGCTAATAAATATACATTTATATTAGTATTTGCATAACGAACTACTAACAGTAGTTGCTTTTTGGCAGTTTAAACTAATGGGTGTCTTTAGTTTTTGGAATAAGACATTTTTTGTCACGTTTGAATTTTCACAAAGATAATGTATTATAATATTAAAAAAGAAAAGATAATGTATTATAATATTAATGAAAGATCTCATGTGCATTTATATTTTTCTTTAAAAAAATTTTATAACAAGATTGCTTCATGCAGAGAAAATAGAAGTTATGTAAACTGCTGAGGTAGCAAATGTACCTTATCAGATGCCAGCACATTTGTTGGCTTTGAAATGATTACCATATCCAGACAGATAACATGAAGCCTTAAATATTATTTATAAACACATTTTATTCACATTCTTCACTATTGACTTAAAAGACAGAAATGACCAGTTTATCCACTCAGGATTAAAAATAGAATCAAACAGAAGAAAATATGCATTTGAAATGATTTTCAGAAGGGAGGACAAGTGACAAAAGATGAATTTATTGAAAGTATTTTAGTAACCAGTTCCTTTTACTCCTAATTTCACCACATGAATCTATTATAGAGGATCATTTAAAAATAAAATGAATAAGCCATATTCCTCTTCTACTAATGGTTATTTAATAATTCTTTCCTTCTTTTTATTTTTAAAAAATCCTCACCCAAGTATATGTTTATTGATTTGAGAGAGAGGGGAAGGGAGAGAGAGAGAGAGAGAGAGAGAGAGAGAGAAAGAAAGAGAAAGAGAGAGAAAAAGAAACATCAACTGGCTGCCTCCTGTATGCACCCAGGCCAGGGATCTAACCTGCAACCTAGGTATGTGCCCTGACTAGGAATTGAACCTGCAGCCTTTTGGTGTATGGGATAACTCTCCAACCCACTGAGACATACTGGCCAGGGCTATTTTTCTGTTCTTAATATGGTAGTTTAGGAAGGATACTATTACTATGGAATAGTAATATGAAGTGCTTGTCATGAACTGATATTTTACCCTACTTTCAAACTAACAAGTGAGCCTGCCATAGTTTCATAAGCACTTTAGAAGACATGAGATTCCTATTCAGGGACCAAGGACATTTTAGCACTCACAGCAGAAGCATTAACTAGAGTATCAGCAATTATACCAGTTCCCAAAGTCTCACTTCCAACAGATTTAAGGAGAATGGCAACCAAATTGATATTAGAACATCTGGTGGGTATGGTAGACACAGTAATCAGTTAAATTTTGAGAGATTAACACTAAGGCATTTTCCTTCATGGGAAGGTGACAGTGTGCCTCTGGAAAAAAAAAAAAAAGATGACTAATGTTCCTCCATTCCCCCTACCTTTTATTGTCTAAGGTACCTCCTCCCAAGTGCCTCATTATCAGATTGCATTGTTGTTCTTCTGCCATAAAATCAGTTTATCCCAGTTTAGTAGCTAAAATTTCACCTTATTTATACTCATCCCCTATTGACACTTAAACCTGTGTTCCAGAACATTCAGGTGAAAGAGGGACAGGAGCATTTAAAAAAACATAAGACACCCAGTGTGTCCCCCATCTTTGTCCATGTAGGCATAGGAGGACTTGATGAGCAGTTTATTCAACCAAGTGGCCCATATCCTTTTGGTCTAGGATCATAAAAGTCCAACAAGATAATACAAGTGGCTAAACCAGAATTATATTTGAATCTTCTGGGCTTTTTCTGGAGAGGCTATCACCCTAGGGGTTGCTGTTGGCATAAATAAGGACACATCATACCTAGGAGTGTTCAGAGCAAAATCTTATGATGTATATAACCTTATATTGACTCAATTAGTATCTTTCCCCCAGTTCTTTCCATGGAGTAGCCAAGAGAAGACAATCCCTTTCTGGGGACAGCCATATTTAATATGCACACTGCCTTACTAAGATGTGTAGACCAGGAAGAAGTGAGGGAGATAGAGTTAGAGATATTTTTTAGTCCATTTTTGAGAAGGCCATTCCAGTGCTCAAGAGCACTATATTTCTTTGGATGGGAGGAAGTGTGGGAGGCCACTAAATACCCCTACTTTCAGACCAGTACTGGGTAGCTTTTGTGATGAAAAGGACACCATTGCCAGACTTTAAATGGTCCACAAAGTCACAAATATTAAGCAGGTTTGTTTCAAGAGCCATAGTGGTATGGCTGGAGTTAGCTGATCATACTGGAACAGTAACATCATATCCTGAACAGGTGTCATAAGTGGTGAGGTATCACTCTTAGCCAGAGAGGTAGACAAAGGTCTGATGTAATCTATGTCAGAAAAACTGGTCAACTTTTGGCATGGATCCCAAGTCTGGCATGCTGTGGTAATCTCTGCATCAAAAAAACAGAGTGCTTCATACTCAGTCTGTACAGGCAAGTTCATTGCTATGTTGGGCAGGATGATGGATCCATGCATCATTTGTGGCAGACTGTCTGGTGCAGTTTCTATCAGCTACTCAATTCTATTCAGTATTTTCAGATGATGGGACCTTACTGTGGGCTTCTACATGAGTGACCCAGATGATTTAATAAGCACCTAAGATTTGTTTCCAGGGTTTGATGCCCCAAAGAAGGGTGACTAATATACCAGCCTGTAATTTTTCCACGTGTCAGACCAAACAGTTTACTGACTCTATAATAGCTTAAGTCAGTAAAAATATAGCAAGTCCTATCAAGAGATGTATTGACTATAGCCATGAGAATGGCTTTGGGCTCTGCCCATGGTGCTGAGCGATCCTGTAGATTTTCAGTATGTATACCTGGTGCTGAGATTAGTTAGCTGTGTCAGAACCCTTGGGTTTCAGCTCAACCAAACCATCAGTGAACCAGGCCCAGGCATATAGTAGAACATCGATGAATGGAGGGCTCCGTGGAGTTAGTGACTGTATTGATTGGTGAGATGGAGAATAACGTTTTTCCCAAAGGGTATGCTGCCACATTTTAATATGGGGCGGAGATGCTGCTGGGGCCAGACCAGCTGTATCCTTGAATATACTACTTATACTTGACGAGTGATGCTTATGTGCCCTTTCAACCTTGTTGATTCACCACGAATGGGACTGTCAGACTTTAGAGTCACAAGGTGTGCGTGAAAATGGCATTTCGTTTGGACAGAAACTCAGTAATAAGCTTGTCACTTTTTTTTTTTTTTTTAAAAAGAGTAACCATGTCAAGGGGGTGACGAGTCTAAAACCCCAAAGAATGCCCCTGGGGAAAGCCTGCTTTCCATCGCCAGAGTTTCTAATGGGCAGAATCTCAGCGTTCCTTTCTAGTTCATGGCGCTACCTGGAAGCTCTTTCCTGTAATATACTTCGAGCTCCTTGAGGGCAGACATTTTGTATCCCTAAAGTCTAGTCCTGTTCTTGTATAACACAGTGGGTACTTAATAAACATTTGAATTACCAGTGGTTATTTAAAAAATTAAGTCTGGTAAACATGAGACTCCAAGCAGCTCTCACAGAGCCAATGAGTTCGAGTGCTGAGATTTGCAGTCTGCTTTCCCTGGAACTTGTCGTCTCCGCAAAGGCTGGGCCAAGCTGTAGGTTGGTGTGCACACTGTGATTGTTTTCTATAACCCTGTCCCTGTAGCCTTAAAGCTTGTCTGAAGTCTTGGACTTCTCCACTCAAATGAGAGACAACACCAAAGCAGCCTCATTCTTCCTGACAGATACTCAATGTCAGCTTCCTATTATTTTCTCATTTTACTCGTCTACTTTAGAACACATCCACTTGCACCTAGGGCTGGTCTGCCTCCTATTTCCTTTATTTTAAAAATGACCCTTGTCCTCTTCATCTTTATTCCCTTCGATAGCATAGTTCCCTATCTCATTCCAACAGCCTTCAGAAAGCTTTTTCTGACTTTAACAGTGAAAACATTGGGAGAGATTGCACCTCTTTATTTCTCTTTTTTTCCATTAAAGAAGAATTATTTATTTTAATAGATTACATTTTAAAATCATTTTTATTAAATTTATTGGAGGTGACATTAGTTAATAAAGTTATATAGGTTTCAAGTGTATAATTCTGTAATACATCATTGGTATATTGTATTGTGTGTACCACCCAAAGTCAATTCTTCTGTTACCAGATATTTGGCCACCTTTACCCTTTATTAACCCCCACTCCCTTTCCCGCTGGTAACCACCATACTGTTGTCTATGTCTATGAGTTTTTATTTGTTTTTCCTGTTTATTCATTTGTTCTTTTCAGTTTTATATCCCACATATGAGTGAAATCATATGGTTCTTGAGTTTTTCCCATCTGACTTATTTTGCTTAGCATGATATTCTCTAGATCCATCCACATTGGCACAAATGGCAGCATAACAGGCTACATTTTGAATGTGTCATATAACAAACACAGGTTGTGATATATTTGAGTTAAAATTTTTATTTATTATCAAAGAAGACGTGTTTTTCATATTTTTGGCATATATGTGCCCAAAATATTTTCCTAAAACAATTGATCTATGTCTTTGTTTGCCTTATTTATTTCTGCCAGCCTTTTTCTTATGTTTAGCCTATGTTATCTTGAGAATATTTAGTTTCTGTCAGTTCTAGTTTGTCCACAATTCGCATGGCAAGGGCATCTATTTCAGCACCCAGGTCAAATGTCCCCGTAGGAAGATCTCAGCGGGTTATTCACAAGAATAACAGGCTACATCTTTTGGTATCTATAGCAGTCATGTGTTTGCTCCTATTTTGGATTGTCTGTCTTATATTCTGGATATCCAAAACATCCTTCAGGGCAGGCCTTCTATCTGTTTTATATTGGACACCCTTATCTGAATGTAAAAATCCTAATTATGAGTGGCAGGCACCTAGATTAAAATGACTGCCAGAACTTCCCTTCTGGACATGTAAGATCCTAAAATCTTATTGGAATTTTAATGAGTTGATTTTGTTTTAATATATTTCCTTCATAGGAAAAAGAAGACCATTTTGAATCTGTTCAACTGAAATCCTCAAGATCTCCAAATATATGAAAAGACTGTGCTGTTGCTTTCAGACTGATGAATAAAGAAACCTGCTCTCTAGTTTTACAAGACCATAGTCTAGAGCCCACCCTCGTACCCGGCACGTTGGTGATGTTACAGAGAAGGCCGTGCTGCTGAAAAGGGAAGGAGGTTGAAATGTTTGATTGCCTTATCACATGGTCAAGTATCTTGCCAAAAATAGGAAAGCAAATGGTTTGGGTCTCAACTGAAGAGGAAGCTCAACTCAGGAAGAGATTTATCTGTATATACGCATAACTGAAAGATTCCAGTTATATACACCTAACTGAAAACCAAGGTTAAGCCCACCAGTGCACTGTTGATGCATGCCATATAATTAATGGGTAACTTTTATTATTTATAACTTCTACATAAAAAGTGTGCTATGGAGGGCAGAAGGTAGCATATGCATTGTGATCCCATTTTTGTCATTTCTTTGTTTATGTTTTAGGGAAGATTTGAAAACTTTTTAAAGGTATAGTTATTTTTCCCCCAATATTTATTTTCCTGACAAGATCTTGAAACATCTTTTTTTTTAAAAAAATTAAAAATGATGAACAAAGAAAGACAATAAACTTTTTGTTTTTTTCATAGGGTATCTTTCTTGATTTCAGAAGCCTAAGTAAGCAGTAATTTTTTAGGAAGAATCAGCATATGCTTGGGTTATAGCGAAACTTATAATTGCCTTTGAAATTCCATTCTTGTTGGAACTGGTAAGATGAGCTTGACTAGAGGTGTTGAAGGAATATTTAGGGGGAAAAAAGCAAGGAGAAAACTTGACTTTCCATTAATACAAACAAGTGACACTATCATAAAAGTCAAATGGCTTAAACAGTTTATGTAATGCTCAAAGCATGATTTAAAAATGAGTGGGAAGGCCTGTTTATCAAATCACCTTGCAAAATCATGAAGAAGGTGGGATGACTTGTGTAAAAGTACAGATAACTGTACAAAGGTATTAGAATAATTTTGTGGTCTCCAGAAAATGGCAGTGGGATATTTGCCCTTGGTCAAGCATCAAAAGTTATCATTCTGCTACAGGATGTAGAGGATTATGACTTCACAGAGTTGTGGTTTTTTGTTTCTTTTTTAAAGTCAATAAGGCAGGAATTCAATTTTAGAAAGTTGCTTATAACGGTATTCATAAGAAGAATGTGGTTATACCATTAACAGTCATGAAATAAGTGTTGTCGTTCTTATTCAAAAGTGATCCAGATAATTATGATATTTCCTATGATGAACAGATTACTAGTATTAGCACGACTTCAATATTATTTATTGAAAGCAGTTTGAAGTTGGATTTGACCAATTTTGTTTTAGAACTGACAGAAAGGGGATTTTCCTGGCCATTGATGATCTAAGGTCCTCTGGTTTGTTTCCAGTGAACAGTAATCTTTATAGATCTTAACCCACGTTTTTAAAAAGACTGGTGGTTAGCTGAGAGAAGCAGGGCCATGAGCAGGGTGTGTTGAATGTTTTGCCCCACATCTTTAAATAAGGTATGATTTGTAACTTTTGATTTAGCAGGTTATGTCTTTGTTTTTGTGGAAAGTGGGAGAAAAATAAAGAATTACGTTTATCTGGCTGGTGGGTAAAACACTGGGTGATGCTGTTATTGTTGAATGAATGTGTGTTTTGTGTATATCTCTACTGTTGGATTCATGGGCATATTGCCATTATTTTATTGTTGGGTGTGAGATTCATGGAGGGCATCACTTAATATAAACCTTTTTCATGTTTAATTTTTAAAAATCTTATTATAAAGAAGAAATTATTTTGGCATTGCTCATTTTTATCTTACTAACAGTGCTGATGAGTCTATCTCCATTTTTGGTCAAAATTTAAGCAGAAGAATGAAATACATTTGAAACGCACCCTTTTAGAAGAACCCGGGCAAAGTTGTACAGCTGGACAGAGTCAGGAAGTTCCTGCACAGTCACCTGTCACTCTCTCTTCATCTTCGGCTGTGCTCAACATGCATGTTCCAAGCCATAGAGATAATTGGGATTTGCTCCCAGGTAGCTTCTTTCTTCTCCTGTCACTGGGCTAAAATCTCTGACATGTCAAAAATGCCTTAAATTTTAATGAACTCTCTGAAAATGTAGTTGGGATTGAAGAATTTATTTATTTCTAATTTTAGATATTAAATAGATTTTGTCAGCTCAGTTCCATTTTTTGGAATGGCATTCCTTTTTTTTCCTGTGGATCCCAGTACTTGTCATTTTATTCCAAGCACTAAAGAAGTATGACAGAAAGAATAGTATGAGGAAACTATTCCGACCAACCCTGGCTATAAAATTCACTTTAGTTTTAGGTCTTGCCTTTGCAAAGCTCAGTAGAATGCTGAAGGGCTTAAAGAAATTAATCATGTTTCTATGACTTTTAATTGACATTTATTGTTTCTTTTCCCCCTGAAGTGGTAGAAATAGTTATTTTTTATTTTTCTAAAAGGCACAGTTTTGAAGCCTTAAATACTTCATTAAGTCAACTGCCACCTATAATATCTCTTAGCATTCTGTCAAAATATATTTAAATCAGTTTTCCACTGGATGGGACCATGTCTTCTATGGATAAAGTATATCATGACATTTAACAATGTTGAGCAATTTGATATGTGTTCACTTGTTTTAAAAGACTGAATTTTATTCTTGTTGACTTTCCCCCTCTTTGGTTACTAGCAATTAAGTCCTTTCCAGGATTAAAAATGTTTCATAGTATTTTTGTGTAGACTTTCATCATTATTTTCTTTCCAGGGAGAAAAGGTGTTTAAATGGTTATGTGGAAGAATGCTTGGGTCCAGTCATTTACCAACTGGGGTCTCCAGGTGTTGGGTTATGATTGACTATGGTTTTCAAAATCACTATGACCAATTGTCCATTGACCTATATCAATGCTACTTTCTGTGATTCCCAGGCATTCCTAATGGGAGACTAATTTCCTGTGAATTAGGGTGGGAAGATGGGTTCTTTGGCAAGTTTAAAGTCAGTGTGTTGCTCACATTTTTCTTTTTACATAAAAGATATGGAGAGTAGATCTTCAGAGGACTTCAAATATCCTCACAAATATTTTATAGTAACCATGAATATTTTCTCAGGTTTAGAGGCCCAGATCATACTAGTAAATTAAGGTTGCCCTAAAGAAAAAGTCCCAAGGGGAATAAATTCAAAAATAAAAAAGCCTCAACACCCAACTCACTCCTTGGATGTTAAAATGAACTTCACAGTAATTAGCTAGAGATTATACTCTGCTGGATTTTATTTCTCTTAGTTTAACATTTTCAGATGTGTTCATTTTAGGATCATCAGGGAAGGAAATAAAACTTTATTATGGGGACAAATAACTGGAAGTCAATTGATATTATTATTGTAATTGTCTAGGTCAGAAGCCAGCAAACTTTTTCTGTTAAAGGTCAGATAGTAAATATTTTTGGCTTTACAGCACACATGGTCTCAATTGTAACTCCTCACTGCCATTGCAGCATGAAAGCAGCCGCAGACAACATGTAAACAAGTGGGTGTGGCTGCATTCCAATAAAAGTATTTATGTACACTGAAATTTGAGTTTCATTTAAATGTCACTTATAAAATATCATTCCTCTTTTTTAAAAAGAATATTTTATTGGTTGTTTTTTTTTAGAGAGGAAGGGAGACAAAACATGGATGTGAGAGTACATCATTGATCGGCTGCCTCCTGCACACTCCTGCAGGCTCCCCACCAGGGATGGAGTCACAACCCAGATATGTGTCACAGCTGGGAATCGAACCAGCAACTTCTCAGTACATGGGACAACACCCAACCAACTGAGCCACACTGGCCAGGGCAATATCAATTCTCTTTTTATTTTTTCTCCCAACTATTAAAAAGTCGAGAGGCATTCTTAGCTCAGGATTTGACCTGCGAGCTCTGGTTTGCTGACCCCTGGTTTAGATCACCAAAACCCACAAGCAAAACTGTTCACACTTTAGGAGCTACCACCTTAAACATTTCTCAAGTCTTTAGAAATGTTCAAAAAGAAAATAACCTATCACCCTCCCTAGATGATTTAATCAGTAGTTAAAGACAAAGCCAGATACTCAGATTCGGAGTTCCTTTTACAGTTCTTGGACTTTGTTATGGTTATTGGTCAGCAACTGGTAAAACCAAAGCAAGTGAACTGGCTCAGAGTAAACCAGCAAGATTCATTTAAAAGACTTTTCTCATTGGGGTTTATATAACATTTGTTGCTAAGGTAAGTGGATTTGGAGATAATATTCAATTTTGTAGACAGATCCATTTAAAGTAACCATTTGGAAGTGGAGGGTATTGGAGCTTCAGTGCAGATTCTAGATCCCCAGCCCTGGAGAGGGTCTTTGCATTTAGACAGGGCACACCTCAATCCTCACACATTTACCAGATTGTGTTTTAAGACTTACGGAGCTGCAAAAGACATTTAGGATTCTTTTAACGATTGGTGGGTCCAGAGAGAGATCGCCAATTTCCTTGAACAAAATGTCCCAATAAGGCTTTTAATTTGCTGTACTTCTTTCTCATCTTATTCATAACTCTTGGAAGAAGAGCTTTGTCTAAAATATCTTGTGGATACTGGTAGATTTGGTTTGGAGCGGGGCAAGATTTCCTTCATCTCAGATGACTTGGGTTAAATAAATGAGTGAAACCAGAGGGAATTACATAAAGCGAAACTTTCTGTCACAGAACAGGAGAGAGAGATTCGTCTTATTCCTGGGTTTGGGCGTTTGCTAGTAGAGCTGTGGTGGTTGTAATCCCCACAGGTGCTCCATCGGCCTGGCGCCTCACCTTTGTTGGCTGCTCCCTGCTTAATAGCCTTCGCTGATGAGCTCTGAGGCCAAACCCATCACCGCAGGTAAGTGAGGAAAGGGGGGCTACCTGGGGAAGTGTGGAGTTGAAGACCGAATCCCCTCTTTCTTAGCCAGTCTCTTAATCTGTCCTCTGTGTCGTCTGCAAACCAGCTTGCCTAACTCCTGTTTATTTTACCACGATAAACCCGAGTGGACAAGACAATAGATTGATATTTAAACTAGAAAGGACGCAGAGCATTTCAGAAACTGTAAACATTTGGGAAACCAATGAGAGTCGACCATCCCGTTAGGTTCTGATATTTTTTTAATGCGTGGTATGCATCATTCTGCTTGAGTTCCTTAAATTCGGGGAGTTTTTGCAAAGATGGATCAGCTCAACCAGTTTTATATTTTGGAAGGATGAAATGTTACTGGAGTAAAAAAATCATTAAAAAAAATCAATCCCAAACCTATTTGTTTGAAATGGCTTATGTAAAAAAGATTTTATAGCGGCTATTTTCCATGTATACTCTGAATATGTTTTAAAACATTATTTCTAGGGGTCACATGTCAGATGATGCACTTTGAAATTGGAAACAAGGCTTGAGCCAGGGCAGGAGAAAATGACGAGAGCTGTCAGTGCGTTTTCTGTGTCCAGGCTGGATGTGAAATAGAGTGGCCAGAAATCAAAACTCAGCTCTCACAAACAGTTTCTCAAGATTCACCCACAGCCTAGTTATCTTGTTTAAAGAGATCCACGACCAATTTGATTGTGTTAGGCATCAGTTGTGCCTCTGAACAACCTATCTGATATTTCCTGCCTCAGACTGTCACATTCCATCAGCGGACTGACTTTATCTTGAGCAGCTGCTCATTCTGAGCACACTGTTCTAGCACTCCTGCCAGTTGCAGTCACAGCAGAAGTCTTTTTTGCCATCCGGTGCCGTTGAACCCGTTCCCCAGTCTCCCCCACTCACTCCTGAAAATCCAGGTTCTTATTTCAATATGAGAATTCAGGGCCTGGTGAGCACTGTTGTCTTTTGAGCAACTGGTGCGGTTTGGATGGATTGATTAGTTGCTGATTCAAATGCATTCGGAAGGAAAAAGAGAATCTCTAACCTCTGACTCCCCATTTTGTTTCCTTTAAGGCCAGTCCTGTCGGCTTTTCACACCTGCTCATCATTCCTGGGTGTGTGCGAATAGTATGAGCATGTCTCAATGAACCAGGCCCTGGTTATTAGCCTGTGGGTCCCTCATATCCTTTCTTTTAAAAAATATTTTTTATCGATTTCAGAGAGGAAAGAAGAGAGAAAGAGAGAGAAACATTGATGATGAGAGAGAATCATTGATTGGCTGCCTCCTGCATGCACTCGAGCCCACAACCCGGGCATATACCCATGACCTCCTGGTTCACAGTCGACACTCAAACCATTAAGCCATGCCAGCCTGGCGGTGCCTCATGTACTTGATTCTCCTCCTCTTCTCACTGTCTTCCTCAGTCATAGTTCCCTCACTAGAATACTCTCCAGTCGCTATGCTTCTTAAAGGCAGGATCTACATCTTATTTATCTCTCTTTTTTTCATTTATTGAAGAGTACCCCCCCAGCCCCCCCCAAAAAAAGATATCTCAATATCCTATCCCTGGAACATGGGAATGCTACCACATTTTGAGAATGGGCCTTTGCAGATATCATTGAGATGTGATCATTCTGGATTATCCAGTTGGGCCCTAAATCCAGTAACAAGTGACCTTGTTAGAGACAAATGGAGGAGAAAACAGACAGAGAAGGCAATGTAATGATGGAGGCCACAAGCCAAGGAAGTTGGCAACCACCGGAAGCTACGAGAGGCGTGGACTGGATCCTGCCCTCGAGCTTCTGAAGGGATGGGACCCTGCCATTGCTTTGATTTTGGACTTCTGGCCTCCAGAACTGTGAGAGAATAAACTTATTTTTTTAAATTTAACGTTATTGTTGAAAGTATTACAGATGCCCCTTTTACTTTCCTTCCACCAAGAGGATAAATTGTCTCCCTCCACCGAGAGGATAAATTTCCGTTGTTTTTAGCCACTCAGCTTGTGGTAAGTTGTTATTTAGTTGCGGAAAGCTAATGTATTTCTATCCTTGGCACCTGGCACAGGACCTGACAGGTAGTTAGGTTCTTAGTGTATTTTTCTACGGTAATAAATGATCTGTGGCTAAAAGGCTTACAAGGAGAAATAGGTAAGAACAAGCCAGTTTTAGCTTATCCATACTTTCCCCGTTTGCTCTTTATTTAGGTTAGTAAAACAGTCAAGTTTAGGGACAAGCCTGTGTGCCTAAGCATTGTTACTGGGACTTAGGAAAAACATTGGGAAATAATATGTCCTGCTTTTTTATTGCCTGACTAGCTATGAAAGGTGAGAGTGATTTTCCAATGAAATGACAGGATGCTTTCCCAGTCTCCTTCCTACTTATGAAGGTTGCTTCTCTGCATTCAGAATATAGGGAGCCCCTCCTTCTTGCCTTGGAGCCCTATTTGAGCAGATTCTGGGCTGCAGTATAGGTGTGGCTCAAAGAAACCAAGATGTGTCTTGTCATCTGGCCACTGAAATGGCCGGATATTTTCTAACCATTGTGATCGGTGAAGAAGTCCAGCTCTACTCGCAACCCTCTAGTGTAACAGTTTGTGTTCAAACTGTATAGACGTGAAGAGAAGTGATATTAGACAGTTTCTTCCAACATTAAAAGTAGAAATGGCCCTAACCGGTTTGGCTCAGTGGATAGAGCGTTGGCCTGCAGACTCAGGGGTCCCCAGTTCGATTCCAGTCAAGGGCATGTACCTTGATTGCGAGCACATCCCCAGTAGGGAGTGTGCAGGAGGCAGCTGATCGATGTTTCTCTCTCATCGATGTTTCTAACTCTCTGTCCCTCTCCCTTCCT